AGAGGTTGACATTTTTGTAAGCTAGTTACTAGAACCCAGGATATTGAAGATTGAAATCACTTATTCTAGGAGCATGGTTAATTCATTTGACTTTAAAATTATTTTATCTCTTTGAAGGAGTACTTAATTTTGACACTTCATTAGTGAGCCTCAGATTCTTCCACAATAAGTGCTTTTGTATTAGTTTTTAGTAGAGAATCTTTGTGTATCTTGAAAGGGACATATCTAGACACCTTTAAGGGACTTTTGAAACATGGAGTTTGCCAGGAATTACTGTGATGCTTTATAAGGTTCACAGTTCAGATGGTGAATTGTTTTCTCCCGAAGAGTCAGATTACGATTGTCAACTTGATCCAAATCCTTACTTTCATTTTAAAGCATATTAAATCTATATTCTTGTTTTGGAAAACATGTGCAGTTGTTTTCTGTGTTGATCTTCAACACCCACATTACCAGTGATGATGACGACTTGGATAAAGCAAAAGTGGGGGGATGAGGAACGTGTTGATAATGCTTTGTTTCGTTTAACCTTGACTGGCAAAGATAATGGCAGGGTACTTTTAATATTTCTCAATGATTTTCTTTAACGTTAAGCTTCAAATTCCAGATTTTAGAAATGGAGGGTTGATTTGATTATTTTCCTTTTCTCTAAATAGAGAGATTAATTTTCCCTTTTTTTGAAGCGTCTGTTCAGAAAATTAGGATTGAAAATATTAGATTACGTCTGGGTTCCCTGGCTTGGTTCAGATAGAGAGATGGAAACATGTCCTTGGTTGATCCGTGCTTTACAAGGAGGACATGGCGGGTGGTGTCCTGATCCATTCACATGAGAGGCTATAAGTTCTCAACTATTTTCAACTACTTAACCTGACTTTTTTCTTTTTGCTTTTATATGGCAAAGTTCATCAGTTTTATTTAATTTTTATTTCTTAAAACACATTAATGTATACTAGGAGGTAATTTTCTTTTCCTTTTTTTTTTTAAAGCAAAAAGCCAGAGATAACAGAGCTGCCTTACGCATTAACAAAGTACAGATGTCAAATGATTCCATGAAAAGGCAGCAGCAGCAAGACAGCATCGATCCCAGCTCTCGCATCGATTCCGATCTTTTTAAAGATCCACTGAAACAAAGAGAATCAGAACATGAACAGGAGTGGAAATTTAGACAGGTATGTGTTTTGGTTTTTTTGAGACTTCGCCTTTTGAAATTGCATTTTTGCTTTCTGAGAAAATTGCTGCTTATGTCATTATTTCAGATATAGTTCTTATTCAAGTACAAAAATCTGTAAAAATTGTCTTTCTCAGTAAATGTATATTTAAGTTGATTTGGGAAAGTTTTAAGAAAATATTATAAACAAGACATAGCCCTGGACCTTAGGTATACTGTGATGAATAGCAGTCTTCTCTGCGAATTTATCATCTGATACAGCAGCGATCTGGTAGCTGATGACATCAAACAAGTTGATGTTCTGTTGCTTTTCTCTCCTTCACCCCCCACGACAGCTGTATTCTTCCTTGACCATGTAATTGCTTTTTCTTTCCTATTTCAACAGCAAATGCGCCAGAAAAGTAAGCAACAAGCTAAAATTGAAGCCACCCAGAAGCTGGAACAGGTGAAGAGCGAGCAGCAGCAGCAGCAACAGCAGCAACAGCAGCAGCAGCAGCTGGGCCCTCCGCCACTCCTGGGACAGTGTGGCTCAGACACCCCGAGCAGCGGCGTGCAGAGCCCCGCAACCCCCCAGCCTGGCAACGGAAATATGTCTCCTGCACAGTCGTTCCACAAAGACCTGTTCACGAAGCAGATGCCCAGCACCCCTACTCCTGTGTCCTCCGACGATGTGTTTGTAAAGCCGCAGGCTCCACCTCCTCCTCCAGCCTCCTCTCGGCTCTCCGTGCAGGAGAGTCTGTCGCAGTCTCAGGCTTCTCAGCCGCCTTCCCCGCAGGTGTTTTCACCTGGTTCTTCTAGCTCCCGACCGCCATCTCCAGTGGATCCTTACGCAAAAATGGTTGGTACCCCGAGGCCACCTCCTGGGGGCCATGGTTTCTCCAGAAGAAATTCTGCTGCCCTGGTGGAAAACTGCGCCCCCTTGTCATCGGTGTCTCGGCCCGCTCCGATGAGTGGGACAGCAGCAAACCGGCTGCCCCCGGTCACAGATTCGTGTTCTTCCTCCACAGCAGGCAGTGACCCCTATGCAAAGCCTCCGGACACACCTAGGCCTGTGATGGCAGATCCATTTCCCAAACCCTTGGGCCTACCCCGGTCTCCTATAGTTTCTGAACAAACTGCAAAAGGTCCTCTAACAGCTGGAACCAATGACCACTTTCCTAAACCATCTCTTAGGACAGATGCATTTCAAAGACAGCGGATACCTGACCCATATGTGCGGCCCTTGTTGACACCTGCACCTCTTGATGGTGGTCCTGGACCTTTTAAGACTCCACTGCAGCCTCCTCCATCCTCTCAGGATCCTTATGGGCCAGTGTCACAGGCACCGAGGCGATTGTCTGTTGACCCTTATGAAAGGCCTGCTTTGACACCAAGACCTATAGATAACTTTCCTCATAACCAGTCAAGTGACCCATATAGCCAGCCTCCCCTCACTCCACATCCGGCAATGAATGAATCTTTTGCCCATCCTTCAAGGGCTTTTTCCCAGCCTGGAACCATATCGAGGCCGACATCTCAGGATCCATATTCCCAACCTCCAGGAACTCCACGACCTGTTGTGGATTCTTATTCCCAACCCTTAGGAACATCTCGCTCTAATCCAGACCCTTATTCTCAGCCTCCTGGAACGCCCCGGCCCACCACGATTGATCCATACAGTCAGCAGCCACCCACCCCAAGGCCGTCGACGCAGGCAGACTTGTTCGTTACATCTGCCCCTAATCAGAGGCATTCTGATCCATATGCGCATCCTCCTGGAACACCAAGACCTGGAATTTCTGGAGTTCCTTACTCTCAGCCACCAGCAACGCCCAGGCCAAGGATTTCGGAGGGTTTTACTAGGTCCTCAGTGGCAAGACCAGTCCTCATGCCAGGTCAGGATCCTTTCCTGCAGGCAGCACAAAATCGAGGGGTGGCGTTGCCTGGCCCTCTCATAAGGCCACCTGATGCGTGTTCCCAAACACCAAGGCCACCAGGACCTGGTCTTTCAGACTCATTTAGCCGTGTTTCCCCATCTGCAACTCGTGATCCCTACGATCAGCCTCCAGTGACTCCAAGGTCTCAGAATGACTCTTTTGGAACAAGTCAAGTTACTCACGATGCTGCTGATCAGCCGAGGCCTGGGTCAGAGGGGAACTTCAGTGCACCTCCCAGCTCTCCAGTAAATTCCCAAGGCCAGCAGTTTTCTGGTGTCTCCCAACTTCCTGGACCTGTCCCAACCTCAGGAGTCACAGATACACAGAATTCTGTAAATATGTCTCAAGCAGATACAGAGAAATTGAGACAGGTAAACAGGTTGTATATTCTCACGTGTTTTACATGTGTTATTTCAGAAAGCTATTTATTTCATCAAATTGATGTTAAGGTTTTTTTCTGTAGAATTTGTCTTACTGTAGAGAAGAAAAATGAAGTTGATGAAGGCAGCACCAGTGAATTAGGTTTCTTTATCTAGTTTCAGTCTTCATGAGTTTGTAGGGGAATTCTTAACTATGAAAGCTTCAGTTTTGTGATAGTTGTATGGCAAGGAAAAAGACCCAAATCATCGATTTATTTCTTACAGTCTGTTGAATTGTTAACTGTAACTAGTGTTTTACCAAATTTTGAAACATTAAGATTTTGTAAACATTACCATATTCACATATTGGAAGCATTGAAACTTAAAAAGCCATTATCAGAAATCCCAGTGATTTTCGTTTCTTTCCATTTCAGCGACAGAAGTTACGTGAAATCATCCTCCAGCAGCAGCAGCAGAAGAAGATGACAAGTCGACAGGAGAAAGGATCCCAGGATCCAGGAGCAGGGCCTCATCCAGGTCCCCTGCAGCACTGGCAGCCGGAGAGCATCGGCCAGGCATTCACTCGGCCTCCACCCCCCTACCCTGGGAACATCAGGTCACCCATTGTCCCTCCTCTAGGACCTAGATATGCTGTTTTCCCAAAAGACCCCCGTGGACCCTATCCTGATGTTACTGGCATGGGGATGAGGCCTCATGGATTTAGGTAATGCTTTTAATTTCATGCCGGATTTAAATTGCTAATAGAAGGGAGAATCAACTGAAATTACTCTTAATCAAGAATTATTTCCGTTTTTTACTCTTGACCCCTTCTTAATTCTGCTGATAGGAGGTCGTGGATTTGTTTTTAACCTCTTAGTACTCTACAGACTCTGAAAACAGTCCTTTGTTACTAATTGACTGCGATAGCGTTAGATTACATTCCAGCCACAATGAGGTAGTTTGTCATACCCGTCAGATCTCCAGAATGTGACTGCCTCCTGTGATGTGAGTGAAAACGGTCTTCTCCCCCGGCTTTTAATTTTAATTTACCTTGTATGTATTTGTGGAGATTTCCAAATGGAGAGGATGTGTTTGCTTAGGAACTTTCCATTCCTGACGATGAGATAGTTGTAAAGCTAGGGGCGTTCTTTTCTGAAGAGGCCAGAACTGTCAACGCCAGGTGTGAGCCCGAGCCACATTGAGGAGGCGGCTCTTCAGCATGTGCTGTTGTATTTTCAGGCATGTTTTTTAATCTGATACCTCCCTCCATATTATTCACAGTCTCAACTTTATTTTCCTTTTTTCTTTCTCCTTACTTAAACTTTTTGCCTGTTGCTGCATTTTATATTTATTTGTAAATTGCCTTCAGTTCTTTCTAGAATGAGGTACAATGTGAATACAAATATTTCTGCAGTTAATTCATTTACTGAATCTTTACAGGGGACGCCTTTCATTCTTTGTCTTACTACCCCGTGCTCGTTCCTTTCGAGCATGTAGGTTTGTCTGTGCAGTCCTCATGCCTTTGCTTTCTTACATCCGGAGGCCTGTGAGTCTCTCTAGTACAGTTCATGAGACCTCCTACCTTTATTCAGACATCCCCCCCAAATCGGCTTTTTCCATATCCTAGCCTCCCTAAATATCGAAAAGAGAAATGGGCTCTTATTCACCTCGAGTAGTATGCTGATTTCTGAATGGTTGATACCATCTGCTTGGTGGCTTTTCTTTGTCTTTGTTTATGTTGTCTCTTAGGTCATGTTTTTAGAGCTCAGATACGGTATTCATTATGGGATACTTAGCAAAAATTTATTTGCGTATAGATGTTTTATAAATGCTTACTAATGGTGATAATTTTGCTTTTGGTAAGTCATTTGTATTTGGCAACATTAATTTTGTATCTGAGTTTAATCTAAAAAAATTTTTTTTAAAAAACAAATCAGCCTAACTCTCAATTCAGTGTAGAACTTAATATTTTAACTGTATGCTTTTCCCCCCCTTTTAGATTTGGATTTCCAGGTGGT